TTTCTAAAGAAGAGTATTATTTAGCCAATGTGATTTGTGGCGACTAATAGTAAATTTACATTCTGTGACACCCCTTTTTTTACAAACTTCACTAAACCCTCTCAAAAATATAAAAAGATTTGTAAATCTCAAAAAGGTTTTCAATTAGAAAGTGACAAAAATGGTGTTCAAAAGGATTAACTCAGAGTCGCCACCTGACATTGGTTTCGGTGTCACCGTTTTATAAAAATGATTTTTTCCTTTTTAAACACTTTGGACTCCAAAACTAAGTCTGCACCAGAGATTCGGGTAAGGGGGTTCATTTGACTCGGGGAGAAGGTGTTAGGCACTCCCCAAGTCCCGTAGATAGTACGGTTGCATACTTGATCTAGCTGGCTTTTAAAATATTCAAATTGAGGTAAAAAACACACAATAGAAAAATAAATATCAAAAGAGGTTCGAGGTCGTCCCCACCTAATAAAAGAAAAAATACTAAAAAGTAAAACCCTATGCTAGCCTATACTATACTTCCTCCACGTAGTTCGTCATGGCCTCCAAAATACATGATACTACGGGGCATATCCCGAATATAAATATATACAAATCCTTCAGGGCATTCCCCGGATAAATTTAACTAAGGGAACGACCTCTCGCCTCTGAACTAACAAAATCCTAAAGTTTGCCTACCCAAGTGACGACAGCCTGAGCATGCTCTTAGCGATCAAAGTAACTAGTAATAACGAAATAGAAACATTAAAGCACTTAGCAGTACACCCAGCTATGTATTCCTTCGATTTCTAATCCTGTAGCATTTTTAATTCAACTAAACTAATAACTCATGATTTGATTCATTTATCATAAATTATGATCTATCACTATGATTAATTAAAATGAGCAATTGGACTTCTGAATATTCACTAATATGTTCTAACAAGACAACTTTAAGTCAAAAGAGAAGAACAACACACAAGTTAGAACCATATAAATTGTAAACACACGCATCATATTAAGAAGGATGGAGTAATAAAGTAAGAATTGGACCTTCTATTGACAAATCCAAAGTTGCAACTCAGAAGACAAACCAGAAAATGACCACAATCGGAACAGCAGACGGGAATTCAACAACTTCGAACGGAATCTCGGATTTGCAAATGGACAGCTCGTCAACTCGACTCGAATCTGTGGTGGCATTTTGGGCGTTGTTGCAGCAGATTTTAGCTGCGTTTCGGGACAGACTCGAGGTTGTTTGGTGGAGGTTTCAGGTGGCGTTCGGTCATAAATTTGGCTTTTAATTCTATAATTCCTGCAATTTGGCTAAAATATTAATTTCTTTTCTAAAATAATACCATAAAATATAAAATTAATCCTAATTAACTAAAACAACTATATTATGACATGAAATTATTTTTGATATTTTCAAGGATTATACTAAAAATAAAAATGGGATAATATTTTTCTAAAAATGCCTAATACCTAAGTATTTAAATGCTAAAATATGTAAAATATTGGGGAGAGTCAAAATTCACATGTCTACAGCTGCCTCTCTTTGACTGGGAGTACGAAGTATTTTCAGACAAAGAACGACTAGACAGGTTTTTTAACCTGACCCTTATTTAGGGAGACCAAAAACTAAGAGGAAGGAGAATGTGACCGAGCCCTAGTATCTAAGCTGCCTATATATCTTTGGCTAAAGGAATCAGGCCACATGTAGTTCAGATGTGAATGAGGTGATGGAGTATACTGAGGTAGAGAGCCGGTCGAGGTGTCGTTCCGTCGAGGTTCCGGTCCGCGATCCTGTTATTACATCAAAATCAAAAAAATGAAAAAGACTAACTAAGCTTGTCAACTATGAGTTACAAGATTCCTATCTATAAGTCTTCTGAAGCTTGATCTTGAGTTTTGAATGGTTCTTCATGCAGACTTTAGATTTGAACCTTGACGCTTGCAAGTTGTAGGTGCTAGTTCATTCTTCTTCAGCTTTTCGGATCAAAACCGGACACACCATACTTGTGACTTTAGTCATATCTTGCACAATCCACCTCTTGACTCAGCTTCTGCATTTTGGATTCACTTCTCTTTTCTTTTTTTCTTTTTTTCTTTTTTTTTGTTTTTCTTTTTTATTTTGGATTGAGATTACTTTTGTTGATCATCTCGGACTATTGACTCGCATTCTTGCCGCGAGCTTCTGCTACTTCTAACTTTAATTGGATTCTGAAATGACTTCCTTTGTTCTCTAGGTGGGCGCCTGATTGCTAAAACTTGAACTGTATTCCCTTGTTTGCCAGGTGGGCGCCTGATTGCCAAAACTTGAACTGTATTCCCTTGTTCTCCAGGTGGGCGCCTGATTGCCAAAACTTGAACTGTATTCCCTTGTTCTCCAGGTGGGCGCCTGATTGCCAAAAACGTGAATTGTATTCCCTTATTTTTCAGGTGGGCGCCTAATTGCCAAAAATCGAACTAGGTTCCCTTGTTCTCTAGGTGGGCGCCTGATTGCCAAAAACTTGAACTGTATTCCCTTGTTCTCCAAGTGGACGCCTGATTGCCAAAACTTGAACTGTATTCCCTTGTTCTCCAGGTGGGCGCCTGATGGTCAAAATTTGAACTGTATTCCCTTGTTCTCTAGGTGGGCGCCTGATTGCCAAAACTTGAACTGTCTTCCTTTGAAACTTGAACTGCTTTCCCTTGTTCTCCAGGTGGGTGCCTGCAATCAAAACAACAAAACAAACAAATTTTTCTGCCCCAGTTTGCACTCGAAAGATTTGTGAGTTGTTAGCAATATTGTAAACTACTTATACTATTGATGCAATGATGAGAGTAAACTAGAGACTCGACTAGGATGTGCATCTCCTATGAGTAAAACCAAGAAACATTGACCAGCAAATGCGTTTGCTGAAAATAACACCTGAATGATCCAGATCAGGAAGTGTGTCTCCTACGGGTGAATCTTGAATGAACCAAACCAGGAAGCGCGTCTCCTAGGGGAGGAATCCCAATTTAGGAAGTGCGTCTACTATGAATGAACTCTCAAATTAGGAAGTGCGTCTCCTAAAACGAAAATATAACTTGAAACAGCCAGACTAGGAAGTGTGTCTCCTATGGGTGAAACATCAATTACTCAAACTAGGAAGTGCATCTCCTAGGAGTAAAACCTCAATTTAGGAAGTGCGTCTCCTAAACCAAAATATAACCTGAAAGACCCAGACTAGGAAGTGCGTCTCCTAGGGGCGAAACTTCAATAACTCAAACTAGGAAATGCGTCTCTTAGGAATGGACTTAAATGACCCAAACTAGGAAGTGCATCTCCTAAAACAAAATATAACCTGAAAGACCCAGACTAGGAGGTGCATCTCCTAATGGGTAAAACTTCAATGACTCAAACTAGGAATTACATCTCCTAGGAATGAATTTAAATGACCAAAGCTAGGAAGTGCGTCTCCTACGGGTAAAATCGCAATTTAGGAGGTGTGTCTCCTAAAACAAAATATAACCTGAAAGACCCAGACTAGGAAGTGTGTCTCCTAGGGGTGATGTGTGATCTTCTCAATAGCCTTTGTATAAGCAGAATTGGGACATTACACCTAAAAAATTCAAGCTTTGATATGAACATAGCCTTCATCCCTGTTTCAAACAAAGAAAACTTGTGAGTTTAAAATATGGTGGTTAGTTTGTGGCCTTGACTTTAAGGGCGATTGCTCCTTCAGTTCCTATGATAACTTTGATTTCAACTTGAAAGACCTTGCTTGTTTATTGACTAACCACTTTCTCTATCACCCATATCACAAAAAATACCTCTGATCCGTTCAAACCCAATACCCTTTATCTGTTGCATTGTGCTCATGAATTGACATTTGTCGAATCTTTGCATTTCACATGAATCCCAAAGCATGTTGATTGTTACCAACTCAGTGCGCATATTGTTCTTTCCTGGCTTATGCCACTTGATGTGCTAGCCAGACTATGTTTTGTGCAATTGGAAAGCTGGTAGCAGATTTTGAATTCATTTCTTTACTTGTTCCGATAAAACAGGCTCAAGAAGGGACTCAAACAAAACAAAAGGAACAAAATAAGGGACAATGGAAAAAGATGATACCTAACAAGAAAATTACAAAGTAGAAACTTATCAGATGTGGATACCAACTCTAATGACCATGACATCCACCTTTGGATTAAGTGGCCTAATCTCTCAAGCAAGTCTAATATTCAACTCTTGTTGTACCTCTTCGTTGTGAATCTGGGCTTCAGCGCTTCAATTGTCCCGTCTGATCCACAATCCTCAGTCGACTTGTAGTGCCCTGAAGGATTTTCACCATCAAGCCTCTCTCATTTTGCTCTTTTTCTCAACTCACCGCCGCGTTACGGTGCCCACGAGGGTTTTTACCGATAAGACTTTCTCATTTTATCATTTTCTCTCTTTGTGCTGAGAACAAGGTATTACCCATGATACAAGAAGATCATACTTTGACCACACACTTGATTTGACATCCTCAAAGATTGGTCGGAGGGTTTATCTTTGGACCGTAATGTAGGCTTTTGGACAAGGTTGGAAAGAAAGGGCGGCATGAAGGCTCAAAATAATTTAAGATGAAAGGGTGCAAAATTACAACTTTTGGAATCAGATCTTTTGGCAAAATTAAAACTTCTGCCCCAGTTTATGGAGTCTGGGGATTTTCTTATTTTGGATGGGATTTCTAAGAAAATTTGCCTCACTCTCGACTTCGGTGGATTATGAAATATTTTATTTGGAGTGACCAAACCGTAAGGCTGCCTACGTATCTTGAGGTGACAAGAATCAGGCCAAACATAGTTCAAAAGACAAAGTTGTTTTTTTTCTTTTCTTTTCCTTCTCTTTTTTTCTTTTTCCTTTTTTTTTCTTTTCTCCTTTTTTCTTTTCCTTTTTTCTTCTTCTTTTTCTCTTTTTCTTTTCCTTTTCTAGTTTCTAACTCTATTGCTGATTCCAAAAGAGGGGTATAAAACAAAAAATTAGGGCTCAAAATGGGTAGCAAACGATAAAAGTGTTTGGGTAGCAGAATAAAATGTCTTCGTCATACCAAACTTAAAAATGCCAAGTACAAACTTGCAATTGAAGATAAGCAAACAAATCACACATAGTATCTATTGATAGCATCAACACAAACAAAAAGTGTCAGTGGGCAATACCTTTGTTCCAATGAATGACCCTTGCCAATTCGAAACAGACTTGACTCAACCTTATCTTGATGTGGAAGAATGCATTTCAGCACTAACTGATTTACCTCAAACTTCTTGAGAGACATTTCCTTGTTATATGCTCTTATCAACCTCTTGATTTCCCAGACTTACTGCCTCAGTTTCACTCAATTCAAAGTTCAGGTTATTTCAGAATGCGTGAATCTTTAATTGTTTCTTCAAACGCATCCTTTTATCATATTCAAAACTGTGCCATCTTTAAGTCATTTCAAAAGAGAAGAACAACACACAAGTCAGAACCATATAAATTGTAAACACACGCATCATATTAAGAAGGATGGAGTAACAAAGAAAGAATTGGACCTTCTATTAACAAATCTAAAGTTGCGACTCAGAAGACAAACCAGAAAATGACCGCAATCGAAACAGCAGACGGGAATTCAAATGGAATCTCGGATTTGCAAACGGACAGCTCATCAACTCAACTAGAATCTGTGGTGGTATTTTGGGCGTTGTTGTAGCAGATTTTAGCTGCATTTCGGGACAGACTCGAGGTTGTTTGGTGGAGGTTTTAGGTGGCGTTCACGGAGGGAAAAGAGTAGCTCTCATGACTGTTTTGGACGGCAGAAAAATGAAGACGATGGCTACGTTTTTTCTCTTCTTTTTGTAACGATGTTGCGCAACTTCCTCCCTTTTCCCGTTGCGTTTGTGTGTTATATGGTTGAAAGAGTGACAAATTTGTATCAACCAAATAGGAATCTAATTTTCATTTCAGGTGGGCTGGAGTTCGGCGACTTCTTTTTTGTGGGGGTGTGTCGTGCCTCTGTTTTGTAATTGGGGTGAGGCTATTTTTGATTTGCTTCCTTCTTTATCTTCTGAAGGAAAACGGGAAGGGATAATGATGATGATCTGTTTAGGGGTATTCAAGGTTAGAAGAGGAAGAAGCCACAACTGAAGGAGTGGTGTTCGAAGGGTGTTTGTCGATCTGCTTCCTTGTCCTTTCCAAGTGAAAGAGCTCCATTCAAATGGGAGGATTTATTAGGTATTAGGGTTAGGCTAGTGGGTCAATTGGGCCAAAAATATTGGGCTTGATGAATTGGGTCATAAATTTAGCTTTTAATTCCATAATTCTTGTAATTTGGCTAAAAATATTAATTTCTTTTCTAAAATAATACCATAGAATATAAAATTAATCTTAATTAACTAAAACAACTATATTATGATATGAAATTATTTTTGATATTTTCAAGGATTATACTAAAAATAAAAATGGATTAAAAATAATATTTTTCTAAAAATGCCTAATACCTTAATTAAATAGAAAAAATGAAACTATTTTTGTATTTTTCAATTTTATGATAAAAATAATGTAAAAGAGTCAGAATTAGTTGAAATAACTATATTAGACCTAAACTAAGTATTTAAATGCTAAAATATACAAATGATAGTTAGACAAATTATACAAAAAGTTTTAAATAGGGGATTAAGAATCAGAAAGTTAGAGAAGACAATGGAAGAAATGAATTTCTATCCTTAGTTTGATATAGAAGAAATGTAGTAGAAGTTTGTTGAACTGGGTGTGTCCAGTTTCAGTTTTTGACATTGTACATATTTGCTATTGGTAAATAAAATTATTTAATTACCAAAAAAAATGCTAAAATATGTAAAATCTTGGGGAGGGTCAAAAATCACATGTCTATACATTCTAATATTAATATTATTTTTTACTTTCTCATAATAAAACTTATATTTTATATTATTTCTTTTCCTCTTACTAAGTTGTCTATTCTCTAAAAATAATAAGGGATGAAAGACGATAAAAATTTATTTGCATCAGATGTTTATTCCAAGCCAATGAATGTAAGAATTTTGTCTTGCATATATAATTTTTAACAGTTAACCATGGTTAATGAAATATATTTTCACTTTAATTTATTCATTATATTCTTAACGTTAAATACATAGTTAAGTATAAAATCTCAGTGCGAATAAGATTTTTAAGGATGCAAAGACAATAAAAAATTTAAAATTGCTTCTTTTTCATTCGTTCAAGCACTGCAACAATAGTGAAATTTTATTCTTATATCAAGTTATGGACTAGAATTAGATTTTATTGTTCTAACTTCCTATTATAATAGTATATTATTTTTTTCAGCATTTATAAGAATTCATATATGTCAACTATAGTTTGACATATGAATCGGGTAAATCTATATGTTTTTTTTATTTTAAGTTTAAGACCTCAAAAAATTTGTTTTAGGCCTCCAATGTTCTTGAGCCGCCCCTGAGGTTAATAATAATATATATGCACAAAAATACTTACATAGTTGCTGGGTTAATATTCCGAAGAACACCCGAATTTGTATCTAAGATTGTATCATTACTATTACAAGCCGTAATTAGCCTAGAAAAAATAGTTCCTAGTATATTTTCCCAAACTGTCACGACCCAAGACCAACCCGTCGTAATGGCGCCTATCACAGTACTAGACAAGCTGACGTCCCAAACATTAGCCAACACTTTGAATGAACAATATACTCAACAAGTTTTAATAGTTAAAAACTCTCATAAATTGGATAAAAAGGCCATAACTAAATGCGGAAATTTTTTCAAAACCTGGGTGTCACCGACTACATGAGCATCTATATATTACAACATGGTCTAGTACACTGTCTGAAAAATAAAACTAAATACATAAACTGAAAGATAGGGAAAGTAGGATCAAGGTCTGTGGACGCCAAGCAGCTACCTAGAAGATCTCCGAAAAAGTAAACTCCACGATCAATAATCGCCGTGCCCGAAAATGCCTGGATCTGCACACGATGTGCAGGGTATAGTGTGAGTACAACCAACTCAATAAGTATCGCAAATAAACAAGGTAAGGTAAGAGAAGTTTAATTTGTTGAGGTCACTAGTTAAATCAGTACGAACTTGCCCTTTTTAATTAACACAGTATAAGATTTAAAGCTAGCTTATAAGGCTTCGCGAAACGAATATTCGTGTGCGCATGTGCCATGTTTCTCAAATACTCTGCTCAACAATATTATGGCATGTAGAGGGAAGAAACGAAGTAAATCAGATAAGTGATCAAGAAAATACAAGTTTCACACACTGCACGGACAACTCACGTGCTAACAATTAAATCTGCACAGACAACTCACGTGTGACACGGACAACTTACATGTCAATAATATCAACATTTGGATCCGCACGGATAACTCACGTGCCAATAATATCAATATATGGATCTGCACGACAACTCACGTGTTGCACGGACAACTCATGTGCCAATAATATAATATGCCCGGCATAGCTGCAGGCTCCAGTCCAAATTATCATACTGAAGCAATAAAGCAAGTATATAGATAGATAATGAATAAAATAAGATTCTACTATTCCTGGACTGGTGTAAATAGCATGTTAGAGTGTAGGCATGTGCAAAGAGTGCTATCGTAGCTCAATCCGACAATTTTATCAATGAAAAATATTTATCAAGTTCGTTCAGGGATTAAACCTCTGAATAGACTCATCATGACTCAATTAGATCACATAAACTGATACCACATGTTAGATATTGAAGCTCGAAGCTTAACAATCATTTTGGCTTATAGGAGCCTGAGCACAACCCAAATATGAATATATAATCCCGATGCTTGCACATGGGATCATCCCCACACATGTGCGCACCCAAAAGCACGTGACTATCACAACAACTCAAACAACTGGTGCCTCAACCGAGTTTAAATATGATACTTACCTCAAGCAACTCGAATCACTCTGCTAGTAAGTCCTTGCCTCGCGAATCGGCCTCCGAACGTCCCAAATCTAGCTATAAGCAATTCGATACAATCAACACGAGCTAAAGAATCAATTCCATAAGTAAACACTAAGTTCTTAATCAAATTCAAAAAGTCAATTAAAAAACGGCCCCCGGGCCCACATCTCGGAATCAAAGAAAAGTCACAAAATCCGGAAGCCCATTCAACCATGAGTCCAACCATACCAAATTTACCAAAATCCAATGCCAAATCAACACCCAAATCCCCAACTTAATCTCTCCGAATCAAATACTGAAATGCTGGACAGAATATTATATTTTGAGGGTTTGTTCATTTTATAATGTCTGCAGAATCAACTATTTAATGTCTATAGAAGCGGATATAGTTTTCTCTATAAGCTTATTAGCAAGATTTAGTTATTCCCCAACACGAAGGTACTGTAATGGTATTAAGCATTTCATATACCTCCGAGGAACGATCAATATGAGTTTGTTCCATTCAAATGAATGCAATTCACCACAAATTAATTATGTGAATGTAGGTTATTTATATGATCCCATAAAGTTCGACCTGAGACCGACTATTTATTTACTTATGGAGATACACCAATATCTTGGAGTTCAACAACATAGGCTATGATTGCTACCTCTTGATCAAATCATGCAGAGATAATAGCCATTCATGAAGCAAGTGGAGAATATACTTGGTTGAGATCAATAACTAACACATTCAGGTAACATGATGTTTCCATCTACAAAGGAATACTCTAACAATATTATATGAAGATGCATGCATAGCTCAACTGAAAGGAGGATACATTAAATACATAACAAAATATATTTCACCAAAAATTAAAAAAAATCATTCATGTTCATCAAAAGAATTGTGAAATAAACATTTAACAACTTTTGTTCAAGTGATAATTTGACAGATTTTTTCATAAGGCGTTGCCGACCTTAATATTTGAAAATTTAGTATACAAGATTGGAATGCATCGTCTACGAGATATAAAGTGATGTTTTCATTACGGAGAGGAAAATACGTATTATACTCTTTTTTCTTAACTAAGGTATTGTCTCAATTGAATTTTCCTGATAAGGTATTCAACGAGGCAGCTAGCTATACGTATCATTAGATATGTTTACGCTTTTATTCACAAAGGATTTTTTTTCCATAATTTTTTTTAGATATACATTATTTATTAATGGACATCCAAGGGCGTCGTAACATATTTTTGGAATGTCATGCAAAAGTATTAAAGGCAAGCAGAGAGCTAGAAAAAGGTTTATAGACAAGCGTTGAGCTTATTGGCCAAGTAAAAAATGTCTATCCATGCGACAATATTCATTGGCCAAGTGTTATATTATATAGGCGGCAAGTCTCCTTTACTAAACTTCTTACAAGCTTGTGATGATCTGGTTATCGTTACATAGGAGTGGCAAACGAGCGGGTCGGGTCGGATATGGTTCGGATCGTAAATGGGTAATGAAAAGAGGGACATTAGCATCTATACCCATTTTTGTGTCACGTTTTAACTTGTGCCCGCTTTGCAAAAAAAATTTCAAGCGTACCCACTTTTCCGTATAAATTCAGCATACAGAGCTGAAGTAGCAAAAGCAATCACGCAAAACTTCAGCAGTCTATTAGCCGAGCCTGAAGTTCAGCTCTAGAGCTGAAGTTTTTGTTTTGTAACTGACGAACTTCAGCTCTAGAGCTGGAGTTTTTGTTTTGTAACTAGCGAACTTTAGCTCTAGGCTGAAGTTTTTGTTTGTAACTGGCGAACTTCAGCTCTAGAGCTGAAGTTTTTATTTTGCAACTGGCGAACTTTAGCTCTAGAGCTGAAGTTTTTATTTTGTAACTGTCGAACTTCAGCTCTAGAGCTGAAGTTTTTGTTTTGTAACTGTCGAACTTCAGCTCTAGAGCTGAAGTTTTTATTTGTAATTGGCAAACATCATCCTTCTTAGAGTGTTTTAACTCTTAGACATCTGCGTTTGAGCTTTTGGGACATCAACTGAAATCAGACAAATTAAAGACTCCCATTGATCCTTCCCTAAAGAATCACCCACAAACATCACTGTTTTCCCTTTCATTTTCAATAGAAACTCAAACCCATTGAACCTATCAAGAAACAAAAACCACCCCAACAAATCAAATACTGCATCACCCATCATCAATCCATTAGCAAAAGGAAAGATAAAAAAAGAACAGCTTTTGTATTTAATAATAACAAAG